GATTCTTAGGCCTCCTCGTACTCTGGTTTCACTTTACTGATTCCTTTTATAAGGGCAAGTGTCTTTCTTTTCCTTGTGGGCTTTCCTTATTACGAATTGCGCAACCTTGGTGTTGTCCTTCTTGTCATCTGGGAGATCGCTTGGAAGAGACTCGCGCGAGAAGTGATCCAGCGAACATCTTAGCCGAGTGGAGATTTTCATGGCATTGGTGATCTTTTTTTTATGATGTCTCTTCCCCAGATGGCTTCAGTCAGTACCTTCTTGATTTGGTGGTCGAAGGATGCTGAGGGCAACCTCTTCGGAGCCTAAAGATATGGGGATAAAATAGCTAGATCTAGACATATAAAGCCTAAAGATTAGATCTTTAGGACTTATAAGAGTCCATAAACGTGCTCAAGGTATATGGGGAGATTTTCACACTGAAACCAAGGTCAATATGTCTTCTTTCTTCTTCAAAATACCACCAAAACACATAAGAGCTCAAAGATTAGCAATGAAGATTATGGTTTCCTCTTAGAGGTTGAAGGAGGGTGAATGAGGTTGGAGGTGGAAAACCCTAGCCATCACATTCCATTAAATTGGGGCTCAAACCCTGGATTAGGGTTTTTCATTAAATAACGGCCACACCGTGGTGATATATGCGACGTTGTGGTGCCAACTTAAAGGCCACGAAAACTCTGGCCTTAGCCACGCCGTGGGATTCCATCACCACGCCGTGGCCACCATAAATTCAACTTCAATTTATTAAAATTACTTAAAATGAACATACCAGAAACTTGGTGTTACATAGATCTTCGAGGAGTATGAGAGACGGTTAAGGGGTTTTGATGGAGATGGAGCCTGGAGGCGGAGGTGATTGAAATTTACACATTTAATGTATAAAATATTGAATGTAAAAATGCAGTATGTATTAGTTTACCATATGTTAAAGGTAAATTTTAAAATTGTTAACGGGATACGCAATAAATTTAATTTATAAGAACTATCTGAATAAAAAAAAGCTAGGGGACAAAGCATGCAATTTACCCCAAATTATAGGAATGATTTATGTAATTTACGCTAATAATAGTCAAAACATATTAATAAGTTATAAACTATTTGATTTTTAATGTATAAATATGTTTATATAATAAAACTTAATGTATAGACCAAGGTTATTAAAATCATGATCATAATCATAAAATCGTACTATCGTACAAACTTACCTAGATAAATAGATTACAATCATATTTGGATTTTTTTTATATAATATCGGGATAGGATGACAAGATCAAATCATAAGATCATAAGATCTTACGATCATTACTATTTGTTATTTTTAAAAAATCAAATATTTTGTTTTATATGAACTAACTGAATCAAATATGAACCCTAGAAATCCTTCTTTGAATTGTTTGTTGTTACATGATATATTGGAGATGTATATTTCATGTTTTAACTTATTTATTGTTAAATGATTGGTTAACTTCTTGATGTAAATACATTTTTTTATGTTTAAATTGTTTTTACAGGATCTTATGATCCTGATTCGATCTTACAATCCTAATTCAATCTTACGATCACGATCTTGCAAAATGAAAAACGATCTTATATAAGATTTCGATCTTGACAACCTTTGTATAGACATATTAAATATTATATTATAAAATAAAATATTAACTACTTTTTAGAAATGCATGGACTATTATAGGGCTGTTAATTGGGTCAACCTAATCAGATTTCAGATTAAACGGAACAGGTTTGTCGGTTTTTATAAAGAAAATTGACCCTAAATCCAACCATATTAAGATAAGGGTTAGTTGGGTTAAAACATGAAATAAATTAATGTTTTGCCATTTTAGTAAGGGTTATTGACATAAAAGCCTTCATATTTACGTGAAATGTATGGTTATGTCTTAAGTCCGTTTTTATGTCATTAATGTCTCATATTTGTTTTTCTTTTTTTTCATTTTAACCTAATATCAGTTTTGACACCCTCTTAGCCGGTCATCATTATCATAAAAGCCCTCTTATTTATACATCACCATCACCCTCATCTACCACCAACAACATTGTCTATTATCACTAGCCACTGCCATCACCACCACCACCAATAAAGAAACCATCATTTTCAACATCTCAACACCACCCTTATTCCTACATACCAGCCACCATCTTCACCACAAAACACTGGTAGCCCCCATCAACACCATCTCTGACCCACCTTATGTATTCTTCATCTCCGACCCACCATCATCCACATGTTGTTCTTTCTCTTGGCAACCTACAACTAGCCATCATCACAAGAAATCGACACAAACACATACAAACCACCACCACCAGGAAATCGACACAACACATACATACCTGCAAAAATCGACACACACACAAACGCCATCTGTGAAAAAACCCCATCTGGACTGAACATCATCCCTTTTCATATTTTCTTAACCATCATTAACCCATTGAAGCATCCATTGCTATCACCTTACTCCACCATTATTTTTTAGAAGCCAACCCTAATGTGATCGATTAAGAGAAAGGAAAGGGATTGATACTTCAACTTTGAAGTCAATTTTTTCTTAAAATCAAAAGAAACACACAAACCACCATCACCACCGGGAAATCAACACACAACACATTTTATTTCATACATGCGTGAGGGAGAAAGAAACACAGACATCCACTCAAAATATCATCATATCTCGGATCTCCAAACCCCAAAATGTTGGAGTTCTTCCGATGGAGGCGACTAGGGTTTCATCCGAGGGGATGGTGGTGAAGGCAAAGAGGGTGTTGGAAATGGTGTTGAAGACAACTATAACGCTTGTGTTCCATGTATTTTTATCTTCGGCTCAATTTATTAAAAAGTTTGCAAAATCGGCACCTACCCTAGGTGTACGTGATAGGTACGTCGGGCGTAGGTCATTAAAGGTGATCGCGGGTTTCCTCGAGTACATTGGGCGTACGTGCTTGGTACGCTAGGCGTACTCATGTAGGTGTCAAACCCTAATGTTTAGGGTTTGGACCCTATTTAAACACCTTAAGACCCTCAAGTCCTCTTTCATCACCAACCTCCATTGCCCCAAAGCATCATTTCGAAACCCTAGCCACCTTGTGAGGTCCTTGAGCTCTTAGAGTGATTCTTGTGTGTTTTGGTTCATTTTGAAGAAAAAGGAATTCATTGAAGAGGTTTTGGGAAGCTTGGAGCTTGTAGATCCAGACTTGGTTTTCCATTTTGCATCTTCTGGAAGTATACAACTTCAAACCTTATGGCTCTGTAGTGTAGATCTAGTTTTGGGGTATGTTTGGGCATGTTTTGGTCTCATGGCTTGGATCTTGTGAGTAGAAGTTACTCTAAAACATTTAAGCATCATTTCTAGTCATTTCTAAGGTCTTTAAGTCATAAAAATCAAATATCGTTTGGTATATTTCTTCTATGCATGAGTTATTGGTCATTTGGTGAAGTTATGGGCCTATGGATTAGTTTTGGGTCCCATTGAGCCATGCAAAAGCTTAAAGTTGTCAACTTTATCAATTAAGACCTTCCCAAGATAAAAATATATGAGTTGGACATTTGGTCTTAAAGCATTAAGGGCTTAAAGTTGAGTTTTAGGCAGCAGTGGAGTACGTTGGGCGTACCTCCCAGGTACGCAAGAAGTAACGGGATTGGCCCAAATTCCCCTTCTGCCGAAGCCCAGTACGTTGGGTGTAATGGGGTGGTACACATGGCGTACTTACCAGAAGGTCATTTGGGTCATTTTTGGGCCTTGGGTCATTATGGGTTTGGGCCACGGTTAGTTGGGTCTGGTAGGGGAAGGGGAAAATGGTCATTTACCCTTATCATAAGGGTAAATATATTATGGACTATTTATTATGGGTTATTACCCTGGTTATTAATTAGGGTTAATTTTGGATATGTTCAGAGTGAGGAGTCGTGGTAGCAGCAGCCCGAGAGTGTGATTTGTTTATCATTTGATTGAGGTGAGTCTCCTCACTGTACTTGTGAGTCGAAAGCATCAATGTCGGCCCACTGGATTATGTTGTAGGATAGTAGTGGTCTTCGTGATACTTACTGATATGTTTGTATGTGTTTGTTGTCTTTATGCCTCTTGCTAGTATGACTATATGCTTAGCTGTAGGGGGTGAAATATACCTGTACCGGTTGAAAGATATCGAATGAGTCGAAAGGGACTGAGAGAGTCGGAAGGGACTCAGGGTTGAAATAGACTCGTTACATGTTTAGTATGATATGTATGTATGATGTATGGTATGTTGTATATTGGGAGAATCACTAAGCTTTATGTTTACGGTTGATGTTTAAATATTTTTCAGGTAATTCCGGTTCAAAAGGGAAGAGTCTGGCATGATCGCACCGCACATTTTATGTTGTTGGGATTGTGTTCTGATAACTGTTTTTCTACTATGACATACTTGATGGTTTTTGAAATATATAGTTGGTGATTTGGTTGATTTTAAACAAAACTTTTACTTAGTGATTTTGGGATGTTACGACAACGTTGACGGTGGTTGATTTTAAATAACACTTGTTCACAACCTGATAAAAAACTCAAAATGACAAAACTTCCCTAATTAAGGCATTAATAAACACAAATTTAGACTTGGTATATAACCACACATGAACCATATAAATATTAAGACTTTTATAGCAATAACCCTTTTAGTAAATAACTTACATATAAAGAAACTTAAAATATAAAATGCTGAAAAAATACAATTTCTGATCACGTTTACACACAACACCTAACTAGGAAAAAAAACACACACCAAAGAAAAAAAACATACACGCCACGTATTGTACATATATATTTTCATTGAATAAATGTTATACCTTTTCTTACTTGAAGTAATATATTTTAGTGCCAGGGCAAATAAAATATAGTTGGTGTACAATCACTAATCATATATATATATATATATATATATATATATATATACAGTAAAAGTAATAATATCAAATTGAGTTGATGTAAAAAGGTATAGCTTAAGAGGGTTGACGAGGGAAGATTGTGTTACTGTTTGTGAATTGCAACGCTGAATTTAAAAAAAAAAAAATAAATAAATAAAAAGGTTTTCTGATATGCTTGAAGGATTACGTGAAAGATACATGAAGAAGGGTATGGCTTAAGGGTGTTGTACAGTACAAACTGATATTGAATACACATGGGCTTAAACGGGTTATTCACCAAATAAAAGGTATAAAATCTACCAGAAACCCGACTGTATATATGTTTCGGGTTAACCCAAATGACATTTTTAACCCTATTAAATTCATTTAAACCTATAAAGCAAGTCATTAATAAAATAAATAATACAAAAAAATCAAGAACCTAAAGTGTACAAAAAAATATTTTGATGACTACTGAAGACTTGAGTAAACCACCAGATGAAGTTACATGAAGCACAGAAGATCTTTAGTTAACCATTGGTCCATCAAAAATCAGAAATAAAGAAAGTGTATAAAATAAATGACATCCCTTTTATGTCAATCAGATCCCACATCTACCCCTTTGTGCTTCAAGAATTCCTTGGCCTCAATTACATCCTACAGAAATGCAAATTTACAATTTAACCCATTTTTATCTATGTAATTTTCAATGACACATATCTTTTCTGCAACTTTAAAAGGTAAAATACCTGCTGTAACAAGAGTGCCTCCTGAGGACAAGTTGGAAATTGCATCAAACCAACCCCAACCATTAACAGACCATAGCATCCTAGTGACACGATCAGATACAGAGGCAGCTGTTTAACAAATAAATCAAAAAAAAAAAAGTTAATCAAAGATATGATGATTCCTACATTAACATTTAAAATGAATCAAGAACTAGATGAAGAGGAAGAAGAAGAGGCTCACCAACCACGTATAACTCTGTGGAATCATTGCAGTCTGCAATAAGCTAATCCATATAGCAGTTATGGCCACTAACAACGGCATAATCTTCACAATATGTTTCATTTTATATGCACAGAATTCGTCTCTTCACACTTACAAAATGTAGTCTGTAACAAAACAACATTATATTATACAGAAGCTTTGATTCCAAGAAAAAAAAAAGTCGTATAATTGAATGAACAGACGTGTTTCTGATTATCTGATTTGGCTTCTTGAAAGGAGATAGTCACTTTGGAATTACAAATGCAAACACACCTGAAACGATAATGCAATCATCCAATTCCAAATGACTAGAAAATCCAAATGAATATCGATTCATGCTATAGATTCAAGCATATCCCAATCAATATTACGAAAACACAAAGTTGTAAATTTTAGGGTTTTTGCAATCTGGGGGGAATTGAAAATAGAAGAGGTTGGATATAAAATCAATTCCATGTGCAATAACTTTAAACAAAAAACAAATGAATCAGTTAGGTAACGCCATCAGATGGGATATACAGTTATTCTCAAATGTCCGTTTTACGATAAACAAACGGGACTCAAAGCCCTTGCGCAATTTCCCAAACATCATATGGCAATTCAAACTTTATGCATACATATATACAGTGAAAAGAGATCCACCAATGTTCAAATCATCGAGAAATTTATGTGGAAAGATAAATCTACAAATAACACAACCTAATCAAATACTGAACTCACACGATCATCTCGATTACCTTGATATCGCTAAACTGAGATGACGATTAAGATTTCTAAGACGGATCGATGTCGACGCCAATTTATTATTTGTTCTTTTGAACTTTACGTCTCCATCTTCGAAGATCAGGAAAGGGTTTGGTTACGTTAGATTTGGCAGACCGCTCTTGTGAGTCTTGAATTGCCGGCGCTTCTGATCACAACTTAGGGTTTCTGGTGTTTATAAGGAAGTGCTTCTCTGACTCTCCACATTTAGACCCTCTGCTTTTAAAATTAATGTTTTTGACACTAGGAAAAACCATAAAAAAAAAACCTTATGTATTATGTATGAATAGTTAAAAAAACATTTATATTATTTTTTTTTTTTTACAAATTAACCATTATTATTTTTGACCTTTATTGTTTTAATGCACTTAACCCATCATCCTTAAAGAACCGGTAACATAAATGACGTGCATCTCATTCTGTTGCTTCAAAAATAGTGATCTCGTTCCTCTTCTTTTTTGAAGTTTGTGTTGCAAAAATGGGGGATCGATCATATGAAATTCTTATAAGATTGATGTTGTCTCTTTAATTTTTACTCAGATACTTCAACTTTTTTCCGGATCCTTCAAAAGATTGTAAATATTTTGTATAGGTGGACGAGAATTTGGGTCTTCAATGGTATAAGAGTAAAGTACATGAGTTGCATTGGGAGAATATGGATTTGTTCAAGTATAATATGATCTTGTCCAAGAAGAATATGGAACTGGAGAAGGAGAAATGGTCTGCAAAAGAAATTAATGAAGCTTGATGTGATTGACAAAAAAGAGACTGATATATTCATGGTTAGGGTGATGTTATTTGGTATTGTTATGGTTTGCATCTTCGTTTGGTTTGTAATTATGTAATCTGGCAATAGGTTAATGTAAAATCGCTAATTATGTAATAGGGAAAGTTAGGTGTATTAAAGAATTAGAAATTAGAATGTGCTTTTCTTATATTTGAAGGAACGTTCAAGACCCTACACATTCTAACTGTTATAAATTGGTTGAGAAAGGTTTTACTGTCATATTTGTTTTATGAAGATAATGTGGTTTTGTGAGTATATAGATTGTTTCAGGTTCCTTTGTTATGGTTGTAATGTCATATTATATCGGGTTATAAAAACAGTTGGACAGTTTTACCCTTTTTCTCACAAATGAACTGATGCATCAAGTAAAGGTCTTGAAAGATGAATTATTGCTACAGATACACAAATACATCAGAAGTTATTTTTTTTCTTTTTTTGTATGTGAAGGTCTGATGCGCTAGAGGTCTAATGTAAAAGCGATATTTTTGTAAATACAAGTCTAGAAAAAAAAGATTTGATTTTTGTCGGTAGAGGTTTGATTGTCTGATGCAAGCGTCATTTTTAAGGGTATAATTGTCATTAAGAGGATTTAACATAGTATGGAATGGAATCAAGATTAAAATGGAATCAATAATAGAATGTAATTAAATATATTGTAATGGAATAAATCAATAATGGAATCAAGAATATAATGGAATTAAGAATAGAATCAATAATGGAATGGAATAAAAAAAATCAGTTGGACGGTTTGATGGTTTAATGCAAAAGTCATTTTTAAAGGGTATAATTGTCACTTACTGCATGTGCACTGTAAAAACAAAGAGGAATAATAGTTTAATAACGATTATATAAACAAGTCAATTAGTCAATAGGACTAAGTCATTAGAATTGGTCATGTTAGTCTTGGTATTCAGGATGTGTGCTTTCACGTACCTGTGTATGTGGGTTTAGTTTAGTTGTAGCTTCACACACACACTCTCTCTCTCTCTCTCTCTCTCTCTCTATATATATATATATATATATATATATATATATATATATATATATATATATATATATATATATATATATATACTTGTATAATTCATCACTTTAACATATGAAATTCACTCTCAAATTCTCTTAAGTTCTATATGGTATCAGATCTTTGGTAGCTCATCAAAATGATCCCCTTTCTAATTGTTCTTCCTGCGACAACCACCATCTCGCTCAACACCACAAATCAACAATTACTTGCTTCTGTTACCATGGCTTCCATAAATCTGAACTTCCAGATTCCTTCACTCAGCATCAAGTTAAATCGTCAAAACTACCCCCTGTAGCGTACCACCATCATCTCTGCCCTGGAGTGATTTAACCTAGACTCCTTCATTCGTGATCCCTAACCTCCACTTGCAACTCTTCCTGCTACCGAACTTGAAAGTACAGAGGCCGCACCCGCCCCCACTCCAAATCCGAAATTTGCCACCTGGAAGAAACGAGACAGATTTGTCCTTCTCTAGCTCAAATCAACCCTATATGAGCGATGTCTTGCATCTGTTGCTCGCTCCCCATCCTCTTATCAAGCCTGGAAAACCCTAAAACGCACGTTTCAAGCTCAAACTCGTGCCCAACTCATGACAATGCGAGATCAACTGCAAACCCTATCCAAAGGATCCTTATCCATTATTGATTACCTTGAATGCAATCGCCAGATTGTTGATTCCTTGACCGAAAATCTCACACTTGTCTTTGATGAAGAAATAATTGGGGACATTCTCCATGGCTTGGATTCTTCCTATGGCTCTTTTACCTCTGACTTTTTAATGCAGTCTGATATCAGCAACATTGATAATCTCATTGGCCTACTCCTTCAGGTGGAAGCAAGTCTTGAACATGATCTTACCAAACAAGTTGTTACCCAATTTGCCTCCACCCCACATCCCTCAACCACACCATCATTCCCTACTGCTCATCATGTCTCACGCACCAACAATCATAACTCTCACCATTCTATAACTCACTCAGGACACTCATCCAACTACCGAGACATTGATTTTCGTCGTCGCCGACCCCATTGCCAACTCTGCAACAAGCCTTGTCACGAGGCAATCAATTGTTGGCAAAGAGCCAACCAAATTGACTACCCATCCACAAAGCACAATCCTCGTTAGCAGCAACACCAAGCCCACCTCACTATTGGACCCAGTCCATCCACAGTTCTGGACCCTGCTTGGTATTTTAATACAGGTGCAACAGATCACGTCGCACCTGATTTGAGCAAGTTGCAAACTACCGAACCCTATGTTGGAGACGACAAACTCCAAGTTGCAAATGGTACAAACCTCCTTATTACTCATTATGGCTCATCTTCTCTATTATCATTGCATTTATCAAAAGTTCTTGTTGTCCCTCATTTAACTAAAAACCTACTCAGCGTTTCTCAACTTATATGAGACAACAATGTATACATGGATCACGCCTTGGTGCTTGGGATGACCCTCCGATCTCATAAAACCCAATATTATCCTCATGGATCCACTCGTACACCTGGGGTGTACATTTGCGGGTGAGGCAAGGTTTCTTTTATGGATTCAAGGAGGATGGTGGTGAGGCTGCCCTCTTGTGGGATGGGATGGGAATGGATTTTCTGGGGGGTGGTAGTGATAATCCTGCGTCCCAGAGCATGAATACTGAGAGAGGATGGAGGAAGTGGGGCAACAATCTTTGGGGATGACTCCGACTCAGTAGGGCCCTCCTCCTGAGTCTCCTTACGATCTTGGTGGGAAGACGAATCTGGGTAGGGCGAACTGTCTGCAGGTACTCCACCGATCTCATCGCCAAGCTGCTCCTCCTTATTGGGTTCTTCTTCATCTTCAAATGGATCCTTGTCAGTTGATATTAGGGTAGGCGGTAGGGGCATCGTCGAATCGTAATCGCTCTCAGTCTCGGGCGTATGTGGCACCACTTGGTCTTCTTCCGGATAAGGATGTGACACCCAGTCCCACATATTCTCCATATCGCTTCGATTTCATGCATGAGACATCAAACAATTAGATGTTTATGAGAAATAATATATCATGATGGGTTTTATAGATAACAATAATTATGTGCTTGTGGAATTTCACTTAACATTTAAGGGCACATGCAACCTAAAGGATCTATGTCTTTAACACTTTGAATGCAACATGCCATATACAACAAAATAACTAGAACTCTAATGACTTTGTAGTATAATCAAATTACAAGAATTAAGATTACATACATTTTGATTTGTTATAGTAAACAAATCAATGAAATCCTTCATAAACAAACTCCAGAAAGCAAGCACCAGAAATCTCGTGCCTCTGATGGTTCACACTCAAACCCTAGCAAATTGGAGGCTTAAGATGAGAGAGCAGAGGGAAGTAAATTTTCGGATTTCTCTCTTAGAATGAGGTGAAAAACGAAAATCAAACCCAATGGGGTTCATATAGGGGATAGGGAGGCTGAATATAAGGCAAGTTTCTTTTAGATAACCCTAATCCTTTTGCTTTCCCCCTAAGGCATCCAAGCTTCCCTAGAGCCCAATAAAAGCTCTAGAAAACTTCTATAAACTGCCCCCTCTATGGGTGGTTCTAGAATTGGTCAATGTTCAACTTTTAAACATTGTCACCTTCAGTCCTTCCACTTTTAATTGATCCAATTAATCCCAAAATTAATTCCAATTAATTTCTGATTCATTATATACATATATTAAAACCTAACACGCCTGTAAACAGTGAGCTTCAAGAGTCTCCGACTTTCACCACGTTACTTTGTACATATTCGCTTTTTCGTCCTTCTATTTTTTCACCATCTTAGTTTCCCAATCTAAGATCCCACCGCAATTGCTTTTCAAAATTTTTGGACTCCTTTCTTTCTTCATTCCCAACATTGGTTTTAGTTTTCCGACGACTTTTCATCCAATAATTTAGGATTTTGATTTCTGTCGCCAACAACCGTATGCGAACTATTGCCGCTACCGATTGTCTGCCAACAATTTTTAATTAAACAATATTATTTCCAATTAATATATTATTCTCATAATATATTAATAAATAATTTATTATTATTTTTAATTGATTTATTAATCATATAATAAATTAATAAATTAGTCTCTCTCCTCTCTCTCTCTCTCTCTCCAAAAAGCATTTTAGTCAATTATTAGGTTTGAGGGCAACCAAAAAATACTTTGTTATTAATTCAAGTATATATCAATTTAGTTATATGCTTAAACACCTAATCCAACAAATAATACATATAATTTCCTATATATATATATATATATATATATATATATATATATATATATATATATATATAGAGAGAGAGAGAGAGAGAGAGAGAGAGAGAGACTAGATGGTATTGTATCTTAGGTAACTTTAGATGCTTATGAGAAATAATATATAATACATACAATTTCCTATTATAATATATATATATATATATATATATATATATATTATATATAGTATCGTATCTTAGGTATCTTTCTATATGACAGGTATGTCGCATACATGTCTCTATTCCGGATATCCTGAAGGTGTACCACCCTCTTGCACTAGATCTTGATCTAAGGCTCTAGTCTTCAGGGAGTCGATCTATGCTACTGATCCGAAAATCCTACAATCGTAGGCCTCGTCCTAATAAACTATTGATCCATAAATCCTTAAGTGTTTAGATTGTTAACTACGGAATCCTGGTTTAGGCGTGCATCAGTCGAACCATAATAAAACTTAGTTGCACATTCTAGGTCTAGTTGTGGTACGACTGCAGTACTAGACTAACCCTAAGATTCGTTTTTTACCTAAAATCTTAAGTTGTGATTTGAATGGATAGTTTTTACGACACATGAGTATATTTATAAGAGTTTATATAACTCTTTAACTGATTTGTGTTTGATTAGGGTATTTTATTAATTTTATGTTTGTGTACTCAATACCACTAAACAAGGATCGACCGGGTAGGAAAAGTCAGAGGGCAAGACCAGCAACCCAAACAATAAATTTATATAACTCTATAACTGATTTTTG